AGTATATGTGTTCTCTCGGACAGGACCGGAGGGAGCGACAGAGAAAAGTGTTAACTAAGTTGTGACAGGTGGACGATTATTCAATGTCAACGAAAATTATAGGGTTACCCTATAATTTATGTAAGTTAATTAAGAGTGGATAGGAATTAAAATTCATATTAGCGAAACTTGCATCTCGCCCGATTTTGTCATTTCAATTTCAGAAATCCTCCACAGTAGCGCGCTGCCGTGCCATCATCGTCTCGGCGGCCCGTGGCTAGTTTATAATCTTCGTATGTATCGCTAATTAGACTGATTAAAGGCAATCTATCGTGTCTCCGAGATGCGGCGGGGCTGATTAATGACATGCGCGACTGCCGTGTGCATCGCGAGGCTATAATAAATTCCATCTAGAACGCGCGCCCGCACCGATTATGCTCGGACAGTGCATTTAATCCTTGTTCTCAGAAAAATATTCCGGTAATTCAATACGGCGCTATTGAATGATTTTCCGTCGTTACGGCTATAAATTTGCGCAACGCCGAACGATGCTATGAAATCGTAAAAATCGTTATGAGAAAAATGCAGAATAATTCCTTATCATGAATTCGCCATTATCGAAACGCGCTTCTTTTCACATGCATTAAGAAAATACATCGATAATTCCCGTTGCGACTTTTATTTGAAATACGAGCGTTATTTGTCTCGCGTAATAGCACCGTTGGAATATGACATATTAATTTCTTCCATAGGAAGATCGGTCGGCCATTCCGAGTGCATTTTAATCCAAAAAGAACAAACGGCGTTTGACTCGCAATATTAATTTCCTAAGGTCTCTCGATGGCACGGGAAATGAATGTATACATCGAGTCACCCACCCACACGTGGCGCGCCTCGCCTAGCAAAACTTCCCTTTTAAGTTACGTTTATTCGCGGCTCACCTCGTTTCAACTCCCTCGGGAAAACAGCGGAGAGCTTATAGCACCGTTCGCTAATGATGTTGTTCTACTTCCTATACACATTCTTCATCGACGTATTCCGAACACGATCCCTTAAAATCGAGTTACGTTTTCGAAATGCACCGATATCGAGTATCGTTATCGAATACGTTTTCGAGAGTATAACGTATATGAATATATTCATAAAACGTCAAAGGTTATAAAATGTCATATCAATACACCGTATATTTCCCGATTATGTCGCCTTTCTGAATCCCCCGTGAATTTCGAGTCGACTTTCCTTTTCGAAAACTTGGGCATATAAAAGCCTGTTTTTCGGACACCCATTAAACATCGACAATTAAAGCTTTCATTCTACGAAATTTTCCAAGTAAAATTTCAAGAATCTTGATACATTTGATTTAATGTGTGTGCGCGCGCGGGCTCTCTCTCTCTCTCTCTCTTTCCGAAAGTCTCAAATCTTTGATTTTAAGTATTTTTATAATCAGATTTTGTATATTCCTTAATTAATCTTCTCGCCATTAAAACACTTTACTATTCAAAGTATTTGTTGATTTCCATATATTGCCTAATATACAGCCTTGGCCAAAAATATCAGACACCTTATTATTTATTTATCCATTATATAACACGTTTTAGCTAAAAAATTGACTTTTCATGTTTATTGTGAATCATTTTTTGCTTTAAATGTATACATAATGCCCAAATCTATACATAACGAATAGAAAATTATATAAGTAAAAGAAATGCAGATAAATGAAAAAGAATATAAATGCCAAATATTTTTTGTCAAGACTGTATATTAAATATTGTATAAAAGAGCGACCATATTTTTCTCGAAAAGTACAAATTTTCTTGAAAATGTTTCAGACAAAAGTTGTACAATTCGGAAAGGGAAGACATAAGCAGATATCATTAATTTGACCTTGGATGATATACCGTTAAGATGAAACCATTTTGAATTTGTTAATCGAAATCTCCCATTTTTCATTACACATTCTCGTAAGTTACTTCAAAAGCTTTTCCCAAACACTATATATAATAAAATATTTTTTCATTAAGTATTTTTCATTCAAATTATACGGCTTGAAAGTTACAATACTGCCGGCATTAGCATCACCCAAGGTGTGTTCGACCAACGGTTAAAACTTCTTGAATGTTGCTCAGAATCTAGATCTTAATAACATTTCTTAAGATCCACGTCATTAGAAATTATTTTTATAATTTTTGTTCTCACGTAAGAACGAAAATAAAAGGAACTTTGCTGAAGAGGAAGTTTTATAACTCGAACAAGTACTGGTTGAAAAAAAAAAACTCTATTATAATATTTTAAAAATATCTTGTGTGGCTTCAGCTGCAAGAATATTATACCACAAAAATGAAGGTTCCCATTCAAAAAGGTGATCTTTACTCTATCTTGACAATTCCGAGTCAATCTTGTATTGCTATATGTATAAATGCATCACTTGAAACTCTATAACTTCTTTGAAACATTTTTCGAGAAAAGAATACGATACGATAGCTCTGTTACAGTCGATATATTAAAGTACCGATGTTTGAAGAGAACACCGGGTTCTATGCTCTATTTTATTCAAATAACAATATGGTTTTTCGTTGACAACTTTTGTATCTTTAACTGATGTAACACTGAAGATGACCACATTAGATGTCGAAACACCTGTTTCTATCGCTATTCATATTGACTGTACTTAGCTCGGCTCGAATAGCCTTTGTTTATTTGATATCGGGGCATGTATCAGAGATTTTCTTTATGCAATTTTATCCGCGCATTTCAAAACGCGAAAAGTCCTTCGCGTTACTCGCGTACCGCGTCTATCCGCATGTTTGACGCAATCGGTTCGGTGGTCTGCCGGAATTTAGAATATTCCATACATCGACGAGCACACCGCGCGTTCGCACCCACGCACTCACACCACGCACGCGGGCACGTGTTAACGCATACGCGTGCAAATCTATCTCCCTTCCTCGTATTCGGCGAGTATGCCTATGTGTGTCGCAACTATGTTTCCATCGAACGTGTCGACACCTAAAAATGACCCCGGTTATATACCGCGGTATTAGCCTATCGTCCCACATGCATATGTACGTACCGATAACTGTTAGAATCGTAACGGATTTTTTTTTCCGCCCCGATCCACCTAGCATTCCAGCCTCATCGTGCAAGTCCGAGTAATATACGTTCCGCCTCATTCCCCCGATTCGGCCGATCGAATCCGGGGCGCGTAACAGCCCTGGACGCTTGTTACAAAACTATTCAAAAAAACTGGTTTCCGCCATTCGACCAAGCAACCCTGCGCGCTTCTCTCCGTGTGCGTACAAGTGCGTGCATGCGTGCGCGCGAGTAAGAGGTCTGAAGCTGCTGCGTGCAGCGCCCGAAGCACGTGATAAGTTAGTCAAGCGTACGAGCGCTCCACGTGTTTGTCTTGAACAACGTCGATGACGACGACTCGATGCAAACGATTAAGACGGATCCCAAAGGTAAATGCAAGCGTGCTCAAGGATTATCAGTAAGAATGCGGACCGACCGGGAGACGAGCAGTAAATAATGCCAGCTACCTGCGGACCACGTTATCTAGGAATGTCAACACACGCGACGTGTACCCTACGCTGTCGCGCATTCTCGTGTTGTTATACCTTTTTTATTTTTCAAAAAAGATTGTCCACAAAAAGCACCGCTTTGACAATGCAAAGTCGTTCCAGGTTCTCCTGACAATATTTCTAAAGAACAATTTAATTTCTCTGTTGTCTACTTTCTGCTTTTGGTCATATCTTGTTTTAATTTAGACTTTTTAGAGATGTCAGAAAAAATCAAAAGATGTAGAATTAATAGATTTCCCTTTTTCGTTTCAACTTTTTCTATTTTAGAATGTTTAAGAGAATGCAATGCGCATAAGAAAATTAATTAAATAAAGAAATATATATAATTTGTTTATAAAGACACATACGATATAAAATGTAGAAATGGGTCTTTCTTCATTAAAGCCATAAGAATAGATTAAAAAAATATTAAACGAAACGAAATAATAGTAAAATGGATGTAAGTATTATAACTTGAAAGGTACATTGGACAATAAAAATCCAAGAAAATGATATATCATAATAATAATAGAAATTATTTTCATGATTTCATATTATGATTCATTATAGTTTACTACGAAAAAAATATTCATTTGATTAAATTAATTTAGTTCGTTTTTATTTCTTTCGATAAAGAACGAAAGAAGTAAACATAAACTAAATTATAATGTAATCAAGTGAATAATTTTTTTTCTCAGTGTTCATATTATATTATATAGCATTTAATTACAAATTATTTTTAAAATGTTTATACATAAAATCCAGATATAAAGAAGAATTACATTTAAAGTAGATTTTTCCAATAAATATATATTACGAATACGAAAAAATATGAGTTTCTCTGTTGTTGCCACTTTAAAATGTAGATCGTATAAAATTTTACGTTCATGTTTCCTAAATATTCTACATTCTCTAGACTAAAATTACTGCAAATCAGAATAATAGCAACTTTCACTGCGATTAATAATCATTAGCGTAACCGCTACTGCGTGTAACTTTCTCTACAAATCGCGCTCCATTTCTCAGTGCATAAAATCTTTCCAAAGTTTTCTAGTATAATATATATTTATAATTAGAAAATGCAATTTAATTTAAATACGTTTTAATGCTCGCGAATATCCATAACGGAGTTTATCACGATTCACACATTTGTGATTCGGGAGAGGAAATATTTGAGTATGTTATTGTTTATAGCAAACTTTAACCGTTCGCTTCGATCAGCGAGCGTAGGGTCGAAACATCAGGTGATTCGAACATGAATTATACATGCAAAACAGAGCGAGTAAAACTCTATTTCAATATCTGTGATGCTATCAGCGTGTACACAGGAAAACACGTTCTTCCCTATAAACATTATATACCAAAAACATCCCTTGACTCTATAATCATAATTATTTTGGATATTGAAATAGAACATTTACTCGCTTTGTAGATTAAAAATATGCAATAAATCAGAATCAAAACTTACCCTTGATCTAGTCTATCAACAGGACCACCGGGTCCCATCATCGCCGGGTGTCCCGGCCCCATAGGTCCAGCCATAGGATGTCCTCCTGGTCCGAAAGGACTTCCAGGTGGTATACCGTACTGTGGTCCGCCAAATGGTTGGCCATGCGAGGGAAAATGCGGATTACCGGCACCAGGTGGTACAAACGGTGGTCCCGAGGAGCCGGGTCGGCCAACGAATTGCGGTGGCGCACCAGAGGGTGATCCAAACGGACTGGGCCCGGGCCCATTGTACGGTGGACCAGAATTGTTCGGAGGTGGTGGAAAACCGGTGGAATTAGGTGGTGGTCCAGGACCGGGTGTCGAGGAACCGCTAGGCGCGGGGGAGGCGGTGTACTGTGGCGTCGCCGAACCAGGCGGCGGGCCTTGGTATGGCGGTGCCCCCGCTGGACTCCCGGCACTGCCGGGAAACGGACTTGGACCTTGAAAGCCCGCATTACTGGGTGGACCGCCTGTATTGTTGTATGGACCCGAGCCAGGACCACCACCCTGACCGACGGAATTGGGCGTAAAAGGCGATGCCTCCGAACCGGGCGGCGGGCCCTTCCAGGAGGCTGGTGTACCGGGATCCTCCAGCGTGGTGGTGGCTGCCAATGGCGTATTTAGGCGGCTACAGCCTGTAAATAGATGGACAATATAGTTACAAACTATCGACAATATAATAATATACGCGTTAACATTATGTTTTTTTTATATTAATTTTACAATGTAACTGTGATAACTTGATACAGATATGATAAAAATTAATTTGAAGATTAAAATAGAGAAAAATAGAAGATACAAAGAAATAGAAGATTGTTTCATACATAGGGTGTTCCGATCAACAAACTTCTAGAAGTCATTTTGAGCAAAAAATAAGTCAAATTGACTTATAGTATACAGATGTATACTATAAGTCAATTTGACTTATCGAGATATAGAAAATTTTATAAATATTATGAAACAAGAAATACCAGACGTTTACACGTTTTATGTAAATATCATCTCTTAATCGTATTAATTGTTCAAAATGTTCATCTTCTGCTTTGTTGCTACTCATTATATCAAACTGTATCTGCATATTCAGCATAGCTAAATATTTGAAGCAATTTTGAAGAATAACGTAATTCACTTGATGTTTTTAAACTGTCTATTAAATGATGAAAATGTATCCAGAAATTTGTAGCAATAATAATAAATAGCTCATTAACCATTGTGACTATTTCTGCCATCTAGATATATTTTTATTATTGAAATGTGCAGTTATCTTAATATTATCTAAACGCTAATCTTCAATGTCAAGTAAACATATCTAAAAGAAATTGGTATTTCGACTGAATCGATTGGAAATTTGCACTGACAAGAACAAATTTTTCATATTTCAATAATTGACTCGAATTAACCTACAGTGTATATAAACTTTTTGTTTAGAACGTGCTTCAGAACATACTCTAGAAGTCTAAACGATCTGAGTTGGATGGTTAGTATTTAAATCATGTTTCGATATGTGAATTTATGTTATGCACTTTATTCAGTTTCATTTGTTCATTTTAATTGTGATACTACTATTCTAGTTTTATGTATGACTGCATATTTTAAGACTGAAAATGATTTGATGCGTAAATTGCAGGACTGGATATAATGTATAATATACGAATTTACATCAAACATTTTTAAGCACTAAAGATCCAGCTCAAACCGTTTAGGCTTTTGTTACTCAGTTGTGTACTCACATTTCACAATAGTCTTAAAACATTTTGTATATTCTATCTCTCTCACCTTATAATAACATTTTTCAATTATAGTATATGCAGACTAGTAGTATATAGTAATAGCATTTATATACTAATGTAAACGTAAAGAAATATATCTGTCTTATCGAAAATCAAATCATTGCGTTTACAGTAGATGAATCACTGATGCCTAAATCTATCCTATCTATCTTATTTATATCATATTCATGACAGAAAAAGTAATCAGAAGCAGCTCATATAAATGATACAAATGAGCTATCACAAGAATGAATCTTACATAAATAACAAGGATTCATATATGTTTCATTTCTTGAAAACGACAAGAGCATCGAAGGATTCATTCTATGTAAACAACACTCCGAAGTAAGGATTATCACAAGGTTTTGTACATATTTTCTTATCGAATAAGAACAGAGTCGAAAATCACATTCCCAGAAAGCGCACTCCCAGAAATAAACATATGTAAAAGAAAATCACCATTGTTTGTCCCATTGGCCTTCATTGTCCTGTGGTCACCCAGCACATTCCACCCTCACCGATATATCACCCACTGCGTAGAAATTAGACACGCAATACGAACGAGGGCGCAAGAGCACGTTCCCGCGATCGTTCTCGCGAATGATAAATCCAGGACGGTGACGCGCGGCTCCGAGTGGCTTGTGTTCGTGCCGCTTGCGCTTGAAGGTTATGTGCCGGCACACCTAACCTAAACCAGTACACGCACCAGTAGACGAGACGCACGTCCGGCCGGTTCACGGCGGCGAAGCACGGCGAAGGCACACTCCAACCGGCGCGCTAACTTCAGGAGTCCGCGACCGCGTCGGTCGTTCGTCGCGGCACACCGCGCGCGCGAGCGAGCTCGTCTCGATGAAACAGCGGCAGCAACGACAACAACAACAACAAGGGCCCGTCGTCGTCGTCGTGCGGCGGTCGCGTCGCCGGCATTTTTCCAACGATCGTCGCTCCGCTGCCCGTGCGTGTCGCCGACTCAGGACGCCTCGGCCGGCGCTCATACGTACTCCGGCCGCGCACCCGTTCCCAGACGCGTGCACTGCTGCGACATGACGCTAGTGACCATTCATCCCCCGCGTCGTCACATTGCAGAAAACTTCACGACGTTCCAAACACAAGCGACCTCGCGAGTGCGCCCGCCCGCCCGCGCGCGCACTCTCTCCACAAGAGAAAGCGAGAGAGAGAGAGAGAGAGAGAGAGAGAAAGGAAGATAGAGAGCGCCAAAGGGTTGAATCAGCGAGATACAGAGAGAGAGAGAGAGAGAGCGTGAAGTCAACAGCCAACTTGACGGTCAGGGACGTAACCGAACTTGGCGCGAAATACGAGGGCGACACTCTCGCCCGCGCGCGCGTGCGCGCGCGCGAGAACCCCGTCCCGCTGTCAACTTCACCGAGCTTCGTGACGTAAGAGGGATCGGAAATTGTCACTGTCGACAATTTTCAGACTCTCGCGAATGCTCGCGTCGTCGGCACGTGTCGAGGGGTGAAATATATGCATCCACCGCGCGTTTCGACCGTTAATACCGTTATTCATAATAAACGCGCTCACCGATTTCCATCGCACTCACACACGTAGATATATATCAGCCGCGGTGACGCTCGCGAGTACGCACGTATACGCACGTGCGCCAGGAGCGTAACTAAGCCACACACGCACCTCGTCCCGAAACTGCTCCCTCGTCGCGGACCACGTGTTCCGACCTCCTTATCCCACTTCCTCGCTCTTTCTCTCTCGTCCGCCTCCTCCCTTCCTCCCGTTGTTGTCCGCGGCGTCGTCTCCGTACCCCGCTTCACGGTGTCGCCACTCACGCCCGAGTGTCAACTGGATCTCTTCCTCGGCCGCAGACGATAATTGCTATTCCACGCGCGAACACCGAAGAGGGTTGCCATTCTTCCGGTACTTTCCTCCGCTCGCCAAGCGCAGGCGACGGCCGCGATGAAAAGTCAGGGCCCTCGAGGATCGAAGCGGTTTCACTCCCGCGCCGCCGCGTCTTCATGACGCGACGCACGCACGCACGCACACCCCACCCCCCCTTGGAGAGGAGAATCGTCTGCTCTTCTTCTACCCCTTCCTCGGCCGCGTGGCTTGTTGTTTCTCGCACGACCACCTCGCCGCTGATCTCTTCGCGAATGGCGAAGCGTCGCGACGCGCCGACTCACGTCACTGCCAGGCGTCGCGCGCGACAAGCGTGTCTCTCTCCGGCCGGCGCGGGTCGTTAATCGTTTTGCACGCTTTCTCTTTTTTTCCAAACTGTCGCCAAAACGTCGATCGTCGTCGAGGCTACGCGCTTGGCGCTCGCACCGGTATCGATTGTCACTCGTGATGTGCGCCACACGTTCTCGCTTTTCTTCACGACTTCTTCGCGCTCGACGGATTATTTTCCCGAAGGAAAGGAAAGGAGCAACTTGCGGCTGCAAATAGTCTCACGAGGCGAGTGACTCGCGCAAATTCACACACCTAAATATCGTGTCCCGCGGAACGGTTACACGCACCGCGCAGCACAGCGTGGGTGGACTTGGACGCGATAATTTTCGATCGATTAATCAAGAGGAAACTTTGGCAACGCGGTGTCGCCTGTTGCATGCAAGTGACGTCGTGTATAGATACGTGCGTGACAGCGATGTTACGCATTCAAATTCGCAAAGAACACGGAGCGAGCGGCGTTAAATCATATATATGGATGGAGTCGAAAGCTCCGTGGAGAGCTCCTTGCCGCGAATCCGCGATGCTTCTCCAGCGGGGACGATTCTTTCCTCACGCACTTCACTTCGGGCACGCAGCGCGTAAGATTGTTCCAGCATACCGCAATTACAATCCCACGCGTGCCGATCCGAGACGTTATTAATCCTCCTTCACATATACGACGCCCGATATATCTCACAGTCCGTGCGAGCCGGTCGAATCCGCGTTGTGCTCCGAGAAGCCACGTTTCCCGTGGAACTCGTGCGTCACTTGCGTACGCCAGCGCGACGCCTACCTCGAGGCCGGGAGAGCGGAAAAAACGTGGGGTGGGAAATAGAAGAAATAAAAAAGGAAGCGGAGCGAGAGAGAAAGTGAGAGAGGTGGAGGAGGAGGAGGAGGAGAAGAAAGATGATGGCACGAAAGAGACAGAGAAAGGGCAACGACGATCACTACTATACGGACGCCACGGACTCGCCGTCGCCGTTCGCTCGCGGGGACTCACACCCCTGCCTCCCTCCTCCCCCGCTGTCCCTCTCCGTGTGGAGTTCCCCTCGCGTTTCCAAGGTGGCAACCACCCCCGGCAGACAGCGGTGTAGATATATATATATATGTATGTATGTGTATACCGTGCCGCGCACGACAAAGACGTCAAAGACAAGCGGCGTGTGCGATCGCGAAAAGCGGCCAACAGCTCGCCCCACGTGGAGCGGCTCCCACGAACGCGTACGGCCCTGCGCGCCGAGAGAGAGCTGCACCCCCGACCGCAACGGGACTGCGCCGCGGTTACTCTTTCCTCCCGTCGGCGTTGCCGCCGCCGCCGCCGCCGCCAACGGCGTCGTCGTCGTTGTCACCAACCACCACAACGTGCGGCGAAAAAACGCCGTACGACCTCACCCGGGGTGCGTATCGACTAAGACGGGTTAACGGCGTTATTCTCGTCATCGACGGGGAGCTGTATAGGCCGCGTGCTACGATCACAGATCGAAGGATCTTTCTCTATACGTGAACGTGCAGCAACATTCGACGGGGTGCTGTATAGGCCGCGTGCTACGATCACAGATCGAAGGATCTTTCTCTATACGTGCAGCAACGGCGGCGTCGCCGGCCGGCCGGCGCATTTTTTTTTCTTCCTCGCTCGCTGTCGTTTGAAAGTCGCCCGTCGCGGGGGACTCGCTGCCGGTTGACAGTGTCACCCTAAAAATCAATAAGGGGTTCACTCTGCCCCGTCGCTCTCCTCCTCCTCCTCCTCCTGTTCCTCCTCGTTTTCCTCCTCGTTTTTCTCCTTCTCCACGCGACTCCTCTCCGCTCTTTCGCTCGCTCTCGCTCTCTTGCTTCCTACCTACCTACCTACCTACCTATCTACCTACCTACCCCCATGTCCCAGGAACGTCGACAGCGGGGGCCGACCGGTCGTG